GGGAGCCGAGGATGCGCGTGGCAGACAAGTGACCCGGGACTGGCCTCACTCACCAACTTGTTCCTGAGTCACTGTCACCGTCGGGAGAGAGGAGATTTTCTCCTTGTCAGCCGGCGGCGGTCCCGTGTTTTCCAGCTGCCCCAGGAGCTGCGGAGAAGGAAACGCTGCGCTAAGGAGCGGGGACGGAGCATCCCCACGCAAATGCGGAGCATGCAGAGCCCCGCGTCCCCAACCAGCCAGGCCAGAGCGGCACGGGCTGTCCCCGAGGGACACCCGACCTGCTCCTAAATCCCCAAAGGCCCAGGCATCGCCAGCTTTTCCCAGGCTGTGTCGCAGCTCCCTCGCCAGCAACATTCCCGCCGCCCAACCCTCGGAGCAGCCTCCGGCACCGAGCTCAGAGAGCGCAGAGATACCGTCCCCCTCCACCGCCACGACATTCTCAGTGTTCAAACATTCCCTTCCTGCCTCCGATCTCAATCCCGCTCCCAACATCGCTGCCCTCCAGATATTTTTCTGGGAGCCTGACGGGCCCGGGTGGGAAGGGAGACGTTGCCAGAGACGTGGAAGAGGCTGCTAAGCTGCTCCGGGAGGATTCTGAACCAAAGGGGAGCAGGTAGAGGTGTTCTGAGGAGAGGAAGAACCTCATGCTGCCAGGACAAGGGAGACCGAGCCCTTCCCGCTTCTCCCGAGGCTTGCCCGGGTGCCAAGAGGGAAGAGGAGAATTCCCAGGGCTCGGAGAAGCTGCTCGATGCCAACCCAAGGAGCAGCCGCAGCGAGGAGCGAGCGCGCGCTTCCCACGTGGAGCCTGCAACATGCAGCGGGGGCTGAGGTGGCGGTGCCACCGGCCCCTCTTCCCAGTTTCACGTCCGATGGGAATTTGATGCTGTTTATGATGTAGATTCACCCAGGAATCGGCCCAAACGGGTCGGGGGGAGCGCAGAGGAGCCTGGGATGGGGTGTTAAGGTGCCGGGGATGACACGAAACGCCGGGATGGGCAGGGCTGCTGCTCCAGACCCAGCGCTGAGCCGGCACTGCTCCGCCGGGCGTGGGGAGGGAGGAGGAAGGTGCCGTCCCAGAGCAGCCGTGTGGGCTGCAGACTCATTTTGGGAAGCAGTGAGTAAGGCGGGCGGGTGACGCAGCCTGGGAAGCCGGGGGCTACTTCCGGACGGCAGCAGATGGCTTTGCCAGGCGCTTTCGGGGGGTGTCGGCACGACAACGGCAG